ACTGCGGATGAAATGGCGTTCCTGTAAAGGATCTTTGAAGTTAAATTCACTAGTACTCCTAAAAGAGGAGAATTCACCGCCATTAAAGTGGAAGATGGGTCGCATCGTCGCAGTCCATCCAGGCTCGGACGGCGTATCAAGGGTGGCGGATATTAAAACATCGACTGGTATAGTTCGCCGATCATTTAGCAAAATTTGTCCGCTTCCTGAACCTGAAGAATCTGGTTGAAAGGTAGACTTTCAACGCCGGGGGGGCATGTTGAAGCGCCTGTCAAATTATATTAGCAGTTCTAATGCCAATATTAGTTCGTAAGCCGTGTAGGTTTTAATATATATATATATATATATATATATATATATATATATATATATATATATATATATATATATGCCGTTATGTTTTTAAAACAAAATATAGTTGTATCTGTCATCGTTGTAAAAAATTAGAAATAAAAAAGGTCGATTGAGCAAATTACTGCATTTTATTATTAAAAGGAGATCATATTCCTATTCAGTATTAGAGATGGGCCGAATATTCGTTTTATATCCGGTATTCGGCATATTCTGCAGCTTTACCGAATAATCGTATTCGGCCGAATATTCGGCTAAATTACACAATATTCGTTTTCATAGTGTCTAATGTATTGAAATGTACGAATTAACTAATGCGATGTCTTTTATTGTTGAAAGTGTATTTTACTTACGGGTTAAATCTGCATACTCTAGAGTGCCTCAAATGTATAAATTTTTTTTAAAAACATTTATGTTTTTGAGGCACTGCAGAATTATTTCCGATTATGGCAAATAGAAACTTGATAAAATGTTTTTGGAATCAAGCAAAGAAACATTGCATTACATTAGTACATTTTCTTTACTTTGATCGTCAGATTCTCTAAAATAAGTCCAAATAGTAAATCTCCTGTCGCTCATTATTATATAATTATCAATTTTCACTAAGAATAAAACAACGAAATACTTTTTATCACAAGAATAGTCAAAACATAAGCATGTGCCGGCAATTTGCTCAGTACTAGATGACGCAATAACTGTCAGGTGTGGCGTGTGGGGAGCGAGAGGCAGGGTCCGGCACTAATCCCGCACGCTTTACGGTAACAAGTTTCGACATAAATTGGTTGGGTCCTGAGGTTATCCTGCCGAATAATGTTCGGCCGAATATTCGGTTCGGTAAACATTTTACCGAACATTCGGCCGAATATTCGTATTCGGTGAAATCCATATTCGGCCCATCACTAACATGTATAAATAGCTGCAGCACAAATAGGTTGGTTAACCGAGGTAGGACCACGCTCTTACAGAATACCAACGTAAAATAGCGGCTTAATGCTGATGTTTGGTATGGTGAGTGTATAGAACCAGAGACCATTTTAACCGGTACCGAGGCACTCCATATAAGTCCTCAAGGGTGACAACGCACCTGAATCTTGATACTTAATCGTTGACACTACATGTGGATGTCTAAAGGTCATTGCATTTACTTACCATCAGGTGAAAGTGTGCTCGTTTCTCACCCATATGCTATAAAAAACGTACCCTTCTTAATGCTGGCACATACTGTGATCGTCGCGCTTCACGGATTGACGATCGTAGTACCAGCTTCCATTTCCTACCAAACACTTTTAGCAGGTGGATCGTACCTTGACTAGGTGAAGGTGTGCTCGTTTACCACCCATATGCTATAAAAACGTAGCCTTCCTAATGCTGGCACATACTGCATTCGTCGCGCTTCACGGATTGACGATCGTAGTACCAGCTTCCATTCTATATTCTATAAAAAACGTAGCCTTCCTAATGCTGGCACATACTGTGATCGTCGCGCTTCACGGATTGACGATCGTAGTACCAGCTTCCATTTCCTACCAAACACTTTTAGCAGGTGGATCGTACCTTGACTAGGTGAAGGTGTGCTCGTTTACCACCCATATGCTATAAAAACGTAGCCTTCCTAATGCTGGCACATACTGCATTCGTCGCGCTTCACGGATTGACGATCGTAGTACCAGCTTCCATTCTATATTCTATAAAAAACGTAGCCTTCCTAATGCTGGCACATACTGTGATCGTCGCGCTTTACGGATTGACGATCGTAGTACCAGCTTCCATTCCATATTCTATAAAAAACGTAGCCTTCCTAATGCTGGCACATACTGTGATCGTCGCGCTTCACGGATTGACGATCGTAGTACCAGTTTCCATTCCATATTCTATAAAAAACGTAGCCTTCCTAATGCTGGCACATACTGTCATCGTCGCGCTTCACGGATTGACGATCGTAGTACCAGCTTCCATTCCATATTCTATAAAAAAACGTAGCCTTCCTAATGCTGGCACATACTGTGATCGTCGCGCTTCACGGATTGACGATCGTAGTACCAGCTTCCATTCTATATTCTATAAAAAACGTAGCCTTCCTAATGCTGGCACATACTGTGATCGTCGCGCTTCACGGATTGACGATCGTAGTACCAGCTTCCATTCTATATTCTATAAAAAACGTAGCCTTCCTAATGCTGGCACATACTGTGATCGTCGCGCTTCACGGATTGACGATCGTAGTACCAGCTTCCATTCCATATTCTATAAAAAACGTAGCCTTCCTAATGCTGGCACATACTGTGATCGTCGCGCTTCACGGATTGACGATCGTAGTACCAGTTTCCATTCCATATTCTATAAAAAACGTAGCCTTCCTAATGCTGGCACATACTGCGATCGTCGCGCTTCACGGATTGACGATCGTAGTACCAGCTCCCATTCTATATTCTATATAAAACGTAGCCCTCCTAATGCTGGCACATACTGTGATCGTCGCGCTTCACGGTTTGACGATCGTAGTACCAGCTTCCATTCCATATTCTATAAAAAACGTAGCCTTCCTAATGCTGGCACATACTGTGATCGTCGCGCTTCACGGATTGACGATCGTAGTACCAGCTTCCATTTCCTACCAAACACTTTTAGCAGGTGGATCGTACCTTGACTAGGTGAAGGTGTGCTCGTTTACCACCCATATGCTATAAAAACGTAGCCTTCCTAATGCTGGCACATACTGTGATCGACGCGCTTCACGGATTGACGATCGTAGTACCAGCTTCCATTCCATATTCTATAAAAAAACGTAGCCTTCCTAATAATGCTGGCACATACTGTGATCGTCGCGCTTCACGGATTGACGATCATAGTACCAGCTTCCATTCCATATTCTATAAAAAACGTAGCCTTCCTAATGCTGGCACATACTGTCATCGTCGCGCTTCACGGATTGACGATCGTAGTACCAGCTTCCATTCCATATTCTATAAAAAACGTAGCCTTCCTAATGCTGGCACATACTGTGATCGTCGCGCTTCACGGATTGACGATCGTAGTACCAGCTTCCATTCCATATTCTATAAAAAAACGTAGCCTTCCTAATAATGCTGGCACATACTGTGATCGTCGCGCTTCACGGATTGACGATCATAGTACCAGCTTCCATTCCATATTCTATAAAAAACGTAGCCTTCCTAATGCTGGCACATACTGTCATCGTCGCGCTTCCCGGATTGACGATCGTAGTACCAGCTTCCATTCCATATTCTATAAAAAACGTAGCCTTCCTAATGCTGGCACATACTGTGATCGTCGCGCTTCACGGATTGACGATCGTAGTACCAGCTTCCATTCCATATTCTATAAAAAACGTAGCCTTCCTAATGCTGGCACATACTGTGATCGTCGCGCTTCACGGATTGACGATCGTAGTACCAGCTTCCATTTCCTACCAAACACTTTTAAGGTGAGTAGGTGAGAATTGGGGCTTCTGCGTCACTTGCTCTCGCTTCGCTCGAGCTACATGCCGCTGAAGGCCCCAAGTCTTTACAGTAGAGGTCTAAATTTTTAGTATAATTCTCGATCCACTTTTTTTATCTTTGCTCCATTTCTAATACTGTTTCATTCGGAATATCAAATACAAATAGTTCAATAATATAACAACAAAATATGAAGGCTAACCTACTTCATCGTTAAAAGGCAAGGTGGTACAAAAAACAGTTACTTTAATAATAAGTACTAATCGTTAGCGTTCTGAGACTTTTTTTTTCTTCTTCTAGAACACAAAGGTAGTTTAATCATTTTGTTTTCAAAACACCATTTCTTAATACGTAAAACATTTTTAACGCACATATTTTCTTATGAGTAAAACAGTTATTCAGTAAAGCAATAGCAATAACACCCAGGTCATTAAATAATTAGTTTTGTCTAAATTCGAAACTTTTTGTCCTAAGGCCACGAATATTCTAATAGTACACGTTTAATCTTGAGTTAGCCATTTCTAAAAAATTGCTAATAATAATACTGCAAGCAAATGTTAATCGTATTACGTGTACGCGAATAATTTTCATAAATAATAATATTTTTATCAACCAGCTCGCGATACTCGTCCTCAATCGACGCACAATAATTGCGCGAATGGTTTGTACATTAGCCATGAGCTCGTAATTAGTAGATGACACAGAGTAATACAGTTCATAGAGGTAACAATAACAATGTAAATGAGTCGTTATGATAACAGCCTTAATTTCGTATACCTTAAGATTATAAATAACAAGAATATAAAAAAATTGTTTAAATTTAAAAAACTGGGTATGAAAGTTAAAAATAGGGCACTAAATATTATTTGAACGCTAATCTTCACACAATCTTCCTTAAATCCTCTTCTGTGGCTGTATCTACTTTGCGAACAAAAATTCTTCCGTTTTTTGTCCAGGTGTAGAGGAATTCGCGTTTTTAGCAGTTTGCTTAGTTTTCTTTAAAAGTTGTTTATTTTGCACAGTCAGGTGTTCGTTTATATAAATAGGTCTACAAGCGCCTTTTAGGTTAATATTATTTGTGGTAACGTGGCGCTTACGCGGTGCGGATATCAGATTGTCTTTCAGCTATCTTGACCGTAACTTTGCCACTATAACTCTGGGTCTGCCTTGGACTTTTGTTTTTGGTGTTACTCTGTTTGCATGAATAATATCGTTATGCTCCAACGGGACTCCAAATTGGTTCCCCAAGGCTATGATTATATTCGTTAGGTTCTCGCATTTATCCTCAGGGAGACCAACTATTTCTAAATTCAAAAGACGCTTCATTTGTTCTTTGTAGTTGATATCTGTTCTAAGCACAGTGTTCTGCTTTTTCAATTCAATAATTTCACGGCGCATTTCCTCAACATTTTTGTTTGTGTACTATATACTTTTTTTTATAGTATCACACTCATCCGATGTAAGTTGTGTCGATTCCTTAAGAGATATCATCTCCTTTTCCAGAGTAGCTTGTTCTTTATGTAAATCTTGAATATTTGTGTTTATCTTGCGGTAATCCTCTCGAATACAGTTAATATCTGATTTCATCCACATAATGGTATCATTGTATCTTGTTTCACGACGGTGTTTATACTGTCATTAATTTGCGATATTTTGTCATCGAAGTCAGTTTTTATAGTATCCAGTTTTGATAATATGGACTCTGTGAATACCCTAAAAGCATCCGACACATCCTCATCGTATTTACGCTTACGCAGCGTTACTCTCATTTCGTGTAGATCTGGATCACTATCGTAGCGTTTTGTTGGTGAGCAATACATGGCTGTGTAGTCTAAGCCCGTTACTACTCCGCACAAGTGAGCACGATAACACGGTATGCGTAAGTAGGATGCGTAATGCAGTGGCACAGGTGTGTGAATAAGACAACTCACTGGTAATGAGGCGGGATCCAGCAGTAAGTCCTGCGTACAATGAATACAATCTTGTTTTCGAAAAGTTAAGGTTTATATTTGAGTGATAAGTGTTACGAAGCAATACATTAAATGATTATTACAGTTTGTTCGCATCCGACTGACACGGACAGCTACCACCGAATGAGTTTACCCATATATTGAACAAAATTATTCAATAGACGGATATACTTTTTCAATATTATAATTAAGTATAATAGAATATATTAAATAGGACGTGGTTTTGTGAGCGATCAGTTTTAGCTACAAAAATGACACACCTTTATTTACAGATAGTACACGAAAAAAGTTTTTCGCCGGTATGTATTTTCATAATATGTGTTTGCAAATTACTTTTTTTTATACATCTATTTTCACAGATGTTACACGAAAAAAGGTATTTCTCCGGTGTGTATTTTTATGTGTCCTATCAAATTACTTTTACTATTACATCTATATCAACATATATTACACGAAAATGGTTTATCTCCGGTGTGAATTTTCATATGCCTTAGCAACTTACTTTTTTCAATAAATCTATGTTCACAGATATCACATGAAAAAGGTTTTTAACCAGTGTGTATTTTCATATGAGTTTGCAAATAACTCTTTGTATTGCATCTAAATTCACAGATATTACACGAAAAATGTTTTTCACCGGTGAGTTTTCACATGTTTTGACAAATCACTTTTTCTATTAGATTTATATTCATAGATATCACACGAAAAGGGTTTTTCACCGGTGTGTATTTTTATATGTCTGCAAATCACTTTTAGTAATAGATTTATATTCACAGATGTTACACGAAAAAGGTTTTTCTCCGGTGTGTATTTTTATGTGTCCTATCAAATTACTTTTACTATTACATCTATATCAACATATATTACACGAAAATGGTTTGTCTCCAGTGTGTATTTTCATATGCCTAAGCAATTTACTTTTTGTCAATAAATCTATGTTCACAGATATCACAAGAAAAAGGTTTTTAACCAGTGTGTATTTTCATATGAGTTTGCAAATAACTCTTTGTATTGCATCTAAATTCACAGATATAACACGAAAAAAGTTTTTCACTGGTGTGTGTTTTCATATGTTTTGGCAAATCACTTTTTCTATTAGATTTATATTCACAGATATTACACGAAAAGGGTTTTTCGCCGGTGTGTATTTTCATATGTCTTTGCCAACTACCTTTTGTATTAAATCTAGATTCACAGAGATAACAGGAAAAGGGTTTTTCACCGGTGTGGTTTTTCATATGTGCTTGCAAATGACTCTTTGAAATACATCTAAATTCACAGATATTACACGAAAAGGGTTTTTCTCCGGTGTGTATTTTCATATGTTGTTGCAAATTATGTTTTCTAATAAATCTAAATTCACAGATATTACAAGAAAAAGGTTTTTCACCAGTATGTATTTTCATATGTGTTTGCAAATGACTCTTTGCAATGCATCTAATTTTACATATATTACAGGAAAAGAGTTTTTCACTGGTGTGTATTTTCATATGTTGTTGCAAATTACATTTTAAATTACATCTAAATTTACAGATATTACACGAAAACGGTTTTTCTCCAGTGTATATTTTCATATGTCTTTGAAAACTTCCTTTATCTGTACATTTATAATTACAATTATTACAACAGTACACTTGCTTAGCGACGTGCGCTTTAAGATGTGCTAAAAAGCGACGTTTATGAGATGTTGCAAATTCGCAAATATTACAGTTATATATATCCATTAGTTGTGGTACTGGACTTTGTTCAACTTGTGTCTGAACTGCATCTGAGTTCTTTTGCGTCTTATGACTGTACGATATGTGGTCGGCAAGAAAATCTTTTGTTAAAAACTTTTTTCTACAATCATCACATTCAAAAATGTATTTTGTTGATGCCCCATATGTGTTTTTCGTAAGTTTATTTATACTCTGTTTAAAAAATTTCTTTTTCATGATTTTTGCAGAATGCTTCCCTTTTTTAATAATTGGCTGAGTATCTCTTTTCAGTTTAGGCTTTGATTTAAAAGTATGGCTTTCTAAATAGAGGTCTCCTTTACGAACATAATTTATGTTACGATCAATAGAATTTGATTTAATCTTTTCTTCACACGGTTTTGATAAATTATTTGTTTGTATGCAGGGTTGTTCTGAAATACAAATGAATCAAACATTTTATTTATTGTAAGATCTTGTATCTTTATTGTAAGATACCTTAGACACTTTACAGTGTGCAGAGTTTATGTCTTATGGCATTCTCTCTGTCAGTCAACCCAGGGAGATATAGAGAAAATATAATATTTTACATAATTATACTAAATAATGTTGCAAGATATAAAGTATTTTAGCCAATTACTCTAGATAAAACATTCATTTTTTGGTGGGAAATAATGGTAAAGAATCTAAATTCGAATAATAATGATGAGGTTCTTCTAACCGTGTTATAATTACATTAATCTAATAATCGCTGGTTCAAATCCCACACAGAAAGAGTGTTATACATACATACATACATTTTGACCAGTATTTTTGTAGATATTAAGAACATAGTCTAGGACTCTAGATAGTAGTATGAGAATAATTTATTCTAGTCTAATAATCTATTCTAACAATCACTGTTTCATATTCCACACAGAGCTAGTGTTACACACACAGTACAGTCGAAGTTGGCGTGTAAGTGCGGCACAAGAGAATTCATCATCACATTTTATCCCGTGGGTTTCGTAAGAGGCGACTTAGGGTTTAGTTTTCCGACAGATGGCGGTATAACTACCTCGTTTATTCAGATGTAAAATATCCACACCGGCGACAGGCAACATTGCCAGAGGTGCTCTCGTCTGGTTCTGCGAATGTCAATCCTATGCCAAGCGTGACGACTGAGGCAAATCCTCCCTACATCGGGAGAGATCCTTCCATGTGCAGTAGTGGAAGTTTACGGGACGATTAAAATAAAGGAATTATTTGTAGGCCATACAAAAACTCAAAACAAACCCTGGTAGCTCAGGGGCCAGTAGTTTGTCGTAAAATTTCACAGTACGCTAGCAACCCAGATTCGGTCTCCTCAAGCACCCATAAAATTGTTAATTTTATATGTGTATGTGTATATGGCCAGGTGATAGGTTGTCATAATTGTTAACAGAAAAATTAAAAAAAAATCTTTGCTAAGTATTTTAAAAATTTATAAAAAATGCCGAGAAAATCTAAATCCTGTAAAGGTCTTTAACTCCTGTGCTATAAATATCAAAAAAAAAATATTTTTAATTTTCATCTTATTACGTAATCCTGAACAATGCTTCGGCTTAATATTTACATTGGACTGCTCCAGTCCAAAAGGATATGTAATTTTTTTCCCAACCATGTATTTAAAATTAATTCTTTGCCCAGGTTTAAACGATTGTACTGAAAAGAAATATACTACACGAGTTTGGCAAGTAACTTTAAAAGTTGACGCATTTAATAAGGATTCCAAAATGGTATAACACTTGCAAGACTATTTATTAAATTATGAAAAAAACGTTTTTAAGTGTACCCCGAGGCTTTCCTCAAGCTTTCCTTAAGATTCTAGTTTGAGTGAAACGTAGGGAACCAGTTGATGAAGTGTGAGCGAGACAGATAGTGACGCTATTTTTCACTGTCGCACACAAAATTAAGTTTATTGCGCATCTGTCTCTATTCTTTTGTGTTGATTTCGTATTTGGCTTCGTTTTTTCTTTGTATAGAATAAGGGTGACAAACGAGCACACAGTCCACCTGATGGTAAGTGGATGCTGTGGCCCATAGACATCTACATTTATCCTCGATTAAGAATCAAAACGCAGATGCGTTGTCACCCCTAAATACTAAGATTGAATGCCTCGTTTCCAGTATAAAACGAAAATTAAAATAGTTAAAATTTGTAGCAACAGAAGTTAAAAGACCGTCATAGTAATAAGGTATATGCATCTTCAGGCATAATGCAAAGTAAAGAAATAAAAAGTCGCATGTTTAACAAAGAACTAAAAAAATAAGTTGACCCTGCAATTTCCTGGAAATATTTTACAATAGTTAACTCATTACATCAAAAACGTTATTTAAAGAAAAATTTTTTTATTTTTTGACGATAACTTTCGAATTGATCAATCGATTTCGATGTAATTGGTGGCAATCGACGAAGATTTTAAGAACAATAATAAATTCTAATAGATCGGTTTCCAATTGCTTTTCTGTTCGCTAAAATTAATGAACCTAACGAAGAAATGCTGTACATTCCGAAGATTTATTACAAAAAAAAGGGGAAAATGCTACTCAAGCTGCCAAAAAAAATTACGACGTGTATAGACCTAATGCAGTGTCAGTAAGAGAGTAGCATAAAGTTGGTTCAAGCGTTTTCAGTCCGGTAATTTTGATGTAAAAGATGCAGCTCGCTCTGGTCGCCCTCATATTGATAAAGTCTATGCCATAGCCGAGGAATTGAGTATTAACCACAAAACAGTTTTGATCCATTTGAAAACGTCTGGCTATACAAAAAAGCTCGATATTTAGGCACCACACGAGCTCACTGTAACTCAACAAATAACGAAACTCAAGAAAGAATTTGAAAAAAAAAAAGACAGCCGCAATTGAACAACAAAAAAAGTGGTATTTCATCATGATAACGCTAGACCACACATATCTTTTGACTCAGTAAAAATTGAGAGCTTGGTTGGGAAGTGTCAGTGATCACCATATAAATATTACCTTGCACCCTCAGATTGTCACCTGTTTCGGTCTCTTCAGAATTTTTTGGATAGTTTTAGGTTAACATTAAGAGGAAGCAAGATTTCTACAACAACGGGATTATGTCACTACCTATAAGATGGCAACAAGTTATCGAACAAATTGGCACATACACTTAAATGTAATTAAACTTTGAAATATTTTGTATTTAGTGAGCTAGAAATCGAATAGTTGTTGCAGTTTTGTGTCATTTATTTACTGTTTATTGTATATTTACGTGGTAACTTTGGACCTTCATTTAATGTATATATACTAACATTACTATAAAGAATGGAAGAAGCATTTAATAAAATGAGATCGGGTGCATTAAGCCAAGGAAAGACTTGTAAACTTTGATTTGATTTTTGCTTCCAAAACCATTAGTGGTGTTATTGATTGTCCTGAAATGTTTAATAAATTTAATATGTGCGTTCCCTTTCGCTATCTGCGTTGTGCTCGTAAGATTTATTACACCATTGACTAGACCATATTGATGAACACTCTTTGGCTCCAATTCTCCAATTGCTATAATGAGTGTGGCCGGTGAGGAAGGAAAAGGGGAGATCTCCCGCCGGGCAAGGTGTTCTGCCCGGGGAGCGGCTGACACTCCGAGTGATAGTTCGGAGAAGTTCTATATATACTGTCCATGATTCGGAATGTTGATAGCGTGATTTAAGCTTCGGTGTATTTCGCTTGTGGCGCGACGACAGCGCCGCTACATCACCCCCCTGCTCAGACCGGAGGTCGATAGTGCAGCCTCGTTGCCGACGAATGTGCAAGTGCCAGGAGATTGCCTTGTAGTCTGCGGTGAGTCGAGAAGAAGGCAAGTAATCTGCGAGAGTGCCGTGAAGCAGAGGTGAGCAGTAAGGCTCAGAGCCGTGCTGAACACTGTAGCACAGAGAGTAGCTTGAAGGAACAGGAAGCATTATTATTCCAGTGCTGCGATGAACCTTGTGAAGCTAGATGGCTTGCAGGATATGAAGACTGCAGTTTATATCTGCTCGGGAGCAAATGGGTGGGGTATTCTATTCTATGATGAAGCTTGAAGTTTCCGAAGTTTGTTGGTTGTGTGTTCAAATCACGTCGGGGTCACCACTGTGGCCGGTGAGGAAGGAAAAGGGGGGATCTCCCGCCGGGCAAGGTGTTCTGTCCGGGGAGCGGCTGACACTCCGAGTGATAGTTCGGAGAAGTTCTATATATACTGTTTATGATTCGGAATGTTGATAGCGTGAGCTTCGGTGTAATTCGCTTGTGGCGCGACGACAGCGCCGCTACAATGAGTAAAATTGTTAACAAATTTAGAAATAAAATTGATATATTTTTTCGATCCTCCTAAGAAGCTCCGTCGCACCTTAAGAGACCATCTTTTGTAATACTCTATAAAAAAATGTTCTTTCCTTTCCGCTTCTATATAATTTTAGTACTGTATTTCGTTATAATTTTTTTTAATCTTTCTTTATCCTAGAAATATAGATGAAATAACTTTATAGTGCTTATAAAGTTATTTGCATTTTGTATCCGCCTGTAATTATTTGTACATTTTAGTTCTTATCGGTTCATTATATTTAATAAGCATGTAAGAAATAACACAAATGTTGGTGGATCACTAAACAAAAACAAAAGAAACTTTATAAGATAATGTTCTTTTACCTATGTCACCGTCATCTTTTTTACACTCTCTATTCCCACTCTCTCTAAAACCGATGGGACGGTAATCCAACACGAATGGAGAGAGATCAGACGTAGAAACAACGGCTTTACGTGCTTTCCGAGGCACGGGGTTGAAACACTGCCAACTTGCTGGAGAGAGATCAGAAGTAGAAACAACGGATTTATATGCTTTCCGAGGCGCGGGGTTGAAATACTGCCAATTTGCTGGAGAGAGATCAGACGTAGAAACAAAGGCTTTACGCGCTTTCCGAGGCACGGGGTTGAAACTCAGCCAACTTGCTGGAGAGAGATCAGACGTAGAAACAACGGCTTTATGTGCTTTCCGAGGCGCGGGGTTGAAACACTGCCAACTTGCTGGAAAGAGATCAGACGTAGAAACAACGGCTTTATGTGCTTTCAGATGCATGGGGTTGAAACACTGCCAATTTTCTGGATAGAGATCAGACGTAGAAACAACGGCTTTATGTGCTTTCAGATGCATGGGGTTGAAACACTGCCAATTTTCTGGATAGAGATCAGACGTAGAAACAACGGCTTTATGTGCTTTCCGATGCATGGGGTTGAAACACTGCCAACTTGCTGGAAAGAGATCAGACGTAGACATAACGGCTTTATGTGCTTTCCGAGACGCGGGGTTGAAACACTGCCAACTTGCTGGAAAGAGATCAGACGTAGAAACAACGGCTTTATGTGCTTTCCGAGGCGCGGGGTTGAAACACTGCCAATTTGCTGGAGAGAGATCAGACGTAGAAACAACGGCTTTATGTGCTTTCCGAGGCACGGGGTTGAAACACTGCCAATTTGCTGGAGAGAGATCAGACGTAGAAACAACGGCTTTATGTGCTTTCCGAGGCACGGGGTTGAAACACTGCCAATTTGCTGGAGAGAGATCAGACGTAGAAACAACGGCTTTATGTGCTTTCCGAGGCACGGGGTTGAAACACTGCCAATTTGCTGGAGAGAGATCAGACGTAGAAACAACGGCTTTATGTGCTTTCCGAGGCGCGGGGTTGAAACACTGACAACTTGCTGGAGAGAGATCAGACGTAGAAACAACGGCTTTATGTGCTTTCCGAGGCACGGGGTTGAAACACTGCCAATTTGCTGGAGAGAGATCAGACGTAGAAACAACGGCTTTATGTCCTTTCCGAGGCACGGGGTTGAAACACTGCCAATTTGCTGGAGAGAGATCAGACGTAGAAACAACGGCTTTATGTACTTTCCGAGGCACGGGGTTGAAACACTGCCAATTTGCTGGAGAGAGATCAGACGTAGAAACAACGGCTTTATGTGCTTTCCGAGGCACGGGGTGGAAACACTGCCAATTTGCTGGAGAGAGATCAGACGTAGAAACAACGGCTCTATGTGCTTTCCGAGGCACGGGGTTGAAACACTGCCAATTTGCTGGAGAGAGATCAGACGTAGAAACAACGGCTTTATGTGCTTTCCGAGGCGCGGGGTTGAAACACTGCCAATTTGCTGGAGAGAGATCAGAAGTAGAAACAACGGCTTTATGTGCTTTCCGAGGCACGGGGTTGAAACACTGCCAATTTGCTGGAGAGAGATCAGACGTAGAAACAACGGCTTTATGTGCTTTCCGAGGCACGGGGTTGAAACACTGCCAATTTGCTGGAGAGAGATCAGACGTAGAAACAACGGCTTTATGTGCTTTCCGAGGCACGGGGTTGAAACACTGCCAATTTGCTGGAGAGAGATCAGACGTAGAAACAACGGCTTTATGTGCTTTCCGAGGCGCGGGGTTGAAACACTGCCAATTTGCTGGAGAGAGATCAGACGTAGAAACAACGGCTTTACGCGCTTTCCGAGGCACGGTGTTGAAACTCTGCCAACTTGCTGGAGAGAGATCAGACGTAGAAACAACGGCTTTACCTGCTTACTGAGGCGCGGGGTTGAAACATTTAATTTTCTGGCTCCGGCTGCTATTGAAAATTTCTTGACGGCAAAACCCAATAACTGATTTTGGCCTAACTTAGGATCCCATGATTAGCAGATGGTACTTACAACAACTTTTTCAGATACAATAATAGCCCTATCCACAAATCAGTGAATCCCCTTTCCTGTTTTATCTTAATAACACCTTGGGTCACCACCGGCGAATTCAGTTCTTATTTAAAACAACACAATTGTATGGCCTACAAATAATCATTTTGGTTCATTTGGGTCACAAACAATCATTTGGTTTGTTCATGTGTAATAAAAGAACAAAATTTTGTATGTACAGTACATCTTCAACTACATGATGCAAGAGAAAGGAGACGGGCAAATTTGGGCCTAACGTTACACAAGTGAAATATTTATCAATATTTTTTTTACAGTTTTTTTGTAGTTAATAATGAAATATTAAGCAGTTTTATCATGGCAAAAGAAATTAAATATTCAATAAAAATAATACTGACTTCCGTTATTTTCATTTTTAAACAATGCTGCCGGATGAAATAGGTTAGTTAATCGATTTTAATACAAAAATAGAAAAAAGACAATAAAAGGTGATTCAGTGTTTTCTTCTTTAGGTAAGTTTAAGAAACTTATTATTTAAATAATGGTTTCCTCGTAAGACACTTCAACGTTTCAAAAAAATCGTAAAAATAATTTGACTAAATACAAAAGAAATTAAATATTCAATAAAAATAATACTGACTTCCGTTATTTTCATTTTTAAACAATGCTGCCGGATGAAATAGGTTAGTTAATCGATTTTAATACAAAAATAGAAAAAAGACAATAAACAGTGTTTTCTTCTTTAGGTAAGTTTAAGAAACTTATTATTTTAATAATGGTTTCCTCGTAAGACACTTCAACGTTTCAAAAAAATCGTAAAAATAATTTGACTAAATAGATTAATAAATCGATTTCACAATCGATTATCAATGTTTTATACAGGCCACAAAGCGGAAATGTCAACATCAGTTCAAAAACTCAAACGTCAATCAAATCATTTGTTACGTTTGTTTGGCTCTGATCTTACGGTGGTAGTGAATATTTTCTGTTGTTTTTGTGTGCTGTAATAATATTCTGATCTTTAATGACTCTGGATCTTTAAGCATTCTGACGATTTATTTTCTTGAAGAATACATGTGCAAAATGATAACTTGAATGATTTTCCCCAGCTCACACATAGTGATTTAATAAAAATATCTTTATGTATTTATCAAATTAAGTAGGCTAGGTCCCATTATGGATTTATGGAGAACACATACAAGGTGGGAGATATGAAATACGAGTAGAAGTGTGTCGAGAAACGGACAGCAACCTACTAAGAGCACAGTGACTATTAAGAGGTCGAATGAAATTGAGACATTTAAATCAGACAGCTCAAAAAGATATTTTACATATATTTTAGTTGACAGTTCTCTTAAAAATAGAGAGGCCACCGAACAATATTATTTTGGGTATGTTCCGAAATACAAACCAGTACACTGTTAAATGCTAAAGACGTCATCAATTGACACTATATTGTACTGGCGTGCCGCCGCCATATTGCGTTGGATATCCGGCCACAATAAAACAATTTTTAATTGTGTGTGCGCTGAATGAAGCATGCCAGAGTTTGTTTCTATTTATTCAAATACAAAAAAAAATATAGAATAATTGCTGGTATATCCATTAGGAGGATATAATAATTTTTGGATCACAAAATGACAAAATAATCGCCAACACTTTTCTAAATGGCGCAAAAGTATGACGTCATATACTGTCCAATGTTTTGGAACGAATCACCAGTATAGCGTCGATTCATGACGTCATTTGCATTGGACAGTACACTGCGTTGTATTTCGGAACATACCCTTTAATTGCTTGGTAGGAAAAAGAACTGTGTAGGTTGCTGTTACCATGTAATGTCATAATACGGTACCTAAGCTGGGCAAGGCATCAAGAGAATTTAATACGGCATGCACCATTTTAGACGATATTTTATTTGTTTATGATGAAGTGGACGTTTAATATATAATTAAAAGAGAAAATGTTTTTAATTCATACTCCCTCTGTTTTTTATAATTATTTCAAACCTCTAGAAATGAGTTGGATGGCGGCGTCTGAATCCTGTATGTGTGAATGCCCTACAATACTAAAAGTTATGGTGAAGTCTAGTTTACAATAAAGTCTAATAATTATTTTCTTAAAGTGTAATGTGAGAGCTCGGTGTGAGAATAACATTGTAAGCATAACGTAAGCCTTACACTAATAATGTATAAGTCAATGAAGCAATAACATTGTTTTGATACAAACCAATAACATCCTATATTTTTTTTCTACCATGAAGCAGTCGTAAACATTTTAGTTTTTTTAAATTGGTATTGGTATATAAATAAAATAATGCAGTAATCGTTTTTGTAACATCAGGCCCAGCTTTCTATGAACTTTCGCCCGTCTCCTTTATAATGTGGTGTTTTTTTTTAAATTTATTGATACGGTTTTATAAAATAAATTCTTTTACCTATGTCAACATCATCTGTTTTACTCTTTAAACCTAATGAAACTAGTGGCAAGTTGTTCTCTGAATCCTTATGTCGATCTTCAAAAGCATCAATCTCCAAGTCTTCCTGTTCTTCAGCAGTATCTAGAATGAAACAGATTCTGACTCAATGTATAAAATCTAATATTTTTTCCAAACGACTAGATAATTACAGTCCATCGCACAGCTGATGGGCCCGAGCCACCCACTTTCATTAATTACCATACTGCATGTTTTATAAGCTATGTGTAATAACTTCAAGTGGCAATGGGCCAAAGAACTGACAACCGATGGAGAAGAAAGGTTCTCCTAACGTGACGTAATTGTGGCAGCCTAGTGCCGGTAGACGAAGTGTAGGGCGGTCGCCCACTAGATGGAGTGACGACCTGGTAAGACATGCAGGAAGTCAATGGAAGTTAGTTAGTTACTAACTAACTTCCGACGTTTACGACGGACTGTTTTCCGAAACTCCACGTCTAAGCGCATATTTTGCGTGTGGGCAGGAATAATGTGGTTATTCAAGCCATGATATTTCCCGAAGAAGTTCAGCAGTCCTTTGATGTTGCAAGCAACTTCGGGGAGCGATTCCGGCGTGCCGAGAAGTTTAGCCCTGTATGAAGCGACTTCTGGATATGTCAGCAGGTGTTACTGATAGCCCCCTGTGCATGCAATGCACAGGGGGCTATCAGTAACACCTATGGTAAACAAATGTTTGTTAAAAGAGCCATGTCCTGTTATAGTACTTGTTACTATTCTGATCTGTGGAGTCAATGGAAGCAGGTGGCTCAGGACCTTGCTTTGTGGTGTTCCTTGGGTGAGGCCTATGTTCAGCAGTGGACTTGTGAAGGGCTGTAATGATGATGATGATTCATTCACCTCATTTAGTGAGTGTTCACCACAAGTTGTTTTTAGTAGGAGTGCTTGCCAGTACAAGATCTTCTTCTGGTCTACCTAACTCACAGATGGGCGGAGGCAGTAGAGTTCAAGGGGGAGGCATTGGCCGTTAGTTTGGACATTGCGAAGGCCTTCGATCGGGTTTGGCACAAAGCGCTTCTTTCGAAGCTCCCTTCCTATGGGCTTCCCGAGAAATTGTGCGATTGGATCACCAGCTTTCTTGCAAATCGGAGCATCAAGGTCGTTGTAGACGGTGCAAGCTCCGATTGCAAGCCTATTAATGCTGGTGTTCCACAGGGCTGCGTGCTATCGCCAACGCTGTTTCTTCTGCATATCAATGACATGTTGCATACCCGTAACATTCATTGCTATGCAGATGACAGCACTGGTGATGCTCTTTACACCGGCCGAGCCAATATTTCTCGGGACAACGTCTCCGAGTGCCGGGACAAACTTGTGTCTGAAGTCGAGTCTCTGCTGGACAGAGTCTCGGATTGGGGGCGACTAAATCTAGTCCAGTTTAACCCCCAGAAGACACAAGTTTGCGCGTTAACCGCTAAAAAGAACCCCTTTGTCGTATCCCCTCAGTTTCAAGGCACTCTCCTTGTTGCCTCAGCCAGTATCGGAATCCTCGGCGTCGACATATCGAGTGACGTGCAGTTTCGTGGTCACTTGGAAGGGAAGGCCAAATTGGCCTCTAAAAAAGCTTAGCGTGCTCAGCAGAGCGGGACAGTATTTCATGCCGGCACACCGCCTGCAACTTTACAAGGCGCAGGTTCGGCCGCACATGGAATACTGTTCCCATCTCTGGGCTGGGGCTCCCCAGTACCAGCTTCTTCCACTTGACCGCATCCAGCGCAGAGCGGCTCGAATCGTCGACGACCGAGTGCTTTCCGATCGGCTCGATTCACTGGCGCTGCGAAGAGATGTTGCATCTCTTTGCGTATTTTATCGCATCTATCACGGGGAGTGCTCTGAGGAATTGTTCGGATTAATCCCAGCCGCCAAATTTCGTGAACGCACTACACGTCAAACGTCCCGATACCATCCACACCATCTAGATGCTTGGCGGTCCACCACTGTACGTTTCACAAGGAGTTTTCTTCCACGTACAACCTCTCTGTGGAATAGTTTACCACCGGCGATTTTTCCGGATTGATACGACCTGGGGACCTTCAAGAAGAGAGCTTACTCCTTTCTAAAGGGCCGGCAACGCACCCACAATTCTCCTGGTGTTGCGGTTGATCATGGGCGGCGGTAGTCACTTAACATCAGGTGAGCCGCATGCTCGTTTGCCCCATCTTCTATAAAAAAAAAAGAAAAAAAAAAAAAAAAGAATGCCTCGAGCACCTTTTCTCCATACAATTTTTAGTATGAAGTGATAAACAAACTAACAGTCCACCTTATGGCATGTAGCCGATCCACCTGATGGTAAGTGTGTACTGCAGTCCACGCACTGCCTGCAGCTAACAACAAACATCAAAGGCTACAATGCGCTGTCTGACGACTAAGATGCAATGTCCCACAGCCTGTGATTATACTGACTCTATACTCTTCAGACTGTCACACAGCAGTGCACGCACTGCTATTTGACGACAGAAATAGGTAACAGGAGGATGGAGGAGTCCATCTGAGCTAAGAAATTGGCAAAGATAGGTGGTAGCTTACCAGTTGTAAGTATATCATTAACTCCTATGAAGTTAATACATCTTAGTGTACATACATACTGGCTGCATTTATACAACATTATACATTTATGTGGGTGCTGCTGACACAGCACACACATACGTCGCCCGTGTCGATGTATATGTATTTCGCATGAAATACGATAACGACCGCCGCCAGCGGGACGGCAGTCTGTAAGTCGGTTAGCTAGAGTGCGGTAGGCAGTTCCTTTCTAAGTGTATCATGTGAACACGCATCTCTGATGTAGAAAATATATCAACTACAACATATGTGAACCGTTACTTCATTTTCCTCCCTGCACAAGCCCCTAAGATACACTAGCCACCAACCCATTCACAACATTTATAAATATATTTATACATAAGTCAAAGAACATGTCTAACAAAGCTCATTATGATGTCCATGTATGCTCAATCTTTTAAACAATTATTTAATTTGTTATTTTCTTTCTCCGTGAGTGCTTTTTACATGCACTTTGAATTTAAGCAAAGGCAAATCAGTACATTGCACATGAAGTCCTTTTTATTTTGTGTCTATGGCCTACAGTAACCACTTGCCATTATGTAAATTGTACCTTAATTTAATAATACAAAATATGTATATCTTACCCATTTCATAATTACAGTTTGTATCAAATTTGAAATTCTCTTTTTCGATTTTCTCTTCCTCAAAGTTAATAGATTCAAGGCTAAAAACGTCGTCCTTACAATCATTTTCTATATCACACTCTACTGGCCAGATATCTATATGATTAATTGGTGTGAATTGAATCTCATCTCTAGCCTCATGTGGTTTTGGCATTGACTGAAACCAAACTCTTATTTAAATAAGTGTAGGAGAATCCATACTACCCCATACCATCCCGCAGATGCAGCAGCATCTTCCTGACAACAACACCAAAATATAAAAACTGTACAAAAGTGAGAGTTCCCACAAAATTTAAATAATTATGTAGATAGTTTAGAAATGTAATTAGAATCGAGACTCAAGTCAATAGTTTTTCTATAGCTTCTAAATATCTATAGCTTTTTAGCGAAATTGGTCTGCAGTAGTTGATATCCACTTCACTCTCATCTCCACTCTTGTGAACAGGTGTTACTAGGGACTCCTTGAACTAAGACAGAAATATACCGTTCTACTGTATTAAAATAATGTGTAGTAGAGTATGACACATAATTTGTGATAGCTGGTATATATTTGTGTTTAAAACCACTCAAACTTTTTCCGGTTGAATGTTAGGGTGATTAGAGCGGCCTCGCTGACATCTACACTTAAACTAATTTTTATCAATGGAAAGTTACAAAAAGCTTCATGAATGTTGCACTAGATGGCTCTATATTAAAACCGCGTCTTTCAGTTAGTAAAATGTCTATGCCAAGTAACAAATACCATTAAAAAACCAAAAAAAAACAAAAAACAAGCGTAGTGTCAAGTTTTGTGTAGTGGACAGCAGTACTGTGAATTCTGCATTTAAAATGTAAATAATAATGTATTTATTATAATTTTGTACTAGTATTATATATTATGGAGAAATAATCCTCAAAATGCTTTCTATTCGTATATCCACAAGTTTTATGAATCCAGTCTGTAATGATGTTTTTATATGTGATGAAGTCGACATGAGAAAACTTCGCCTTCGTGTGTCGGTTTTTCGTTAAGTTTTTGTATTATATATTTTTTATTTTAATAAAATATTTCTTATAAGTATAACAATAATAAATACAAATTTAAAATAAATTCTTATAAATAATTTTTTTTTTAAATAATAATAGTATTGTTTCACTTTATAGCTGCCCGGAAGATTAGACTAGAATGGAGTATGTCGATATTTTAGATATTTTTGCATAGACATACTTAATATTTATAAAAGGTTATTGGTATTATTGGATAGGGTAACTCATGTTATAATAATTATTGTACAATTAATATATAGAAATAAAATGACTGCTATATTATCAAACAAAATAAAAAAATATTAGGGTTTTTCAACTAAATTTCTAAAATTAATAATTTTTTTAGTTGTTGCACTTCAGTTGGGTAATTATTAACGTAATTGAATTCTGCATTTTATTATCTTTCATTGTGACTTTTAATCTGATATAGGTAACGAACATTCTCTGTGGTAACCATTTTAGTCGAACTGGTCGGGATCGGACCTTAAAATAGCCGCAAAGAGCGGTGCGGCGCATTCAAGGCTATTGTTGCCGTATCGCTCAGATGTTCAAGTGGATAAGCCAACATTATAGTGATCACTAAAATGCCTGCCAAGTGATGATTAAGGCAAATTTTTCATTATAATGGGAAAGAAGCATCAAGCAGTAAACTTTTATTAATAAGAAAAGTATTATTCCACAGATCTTGCAGTGACGGTTTAAGGATATCAACTGCCCTATATACCTACCCACGGGACGAGTGTTGTAAGAGCCAACAGAGGGAAACAGGAACAGGAGTTGGGCAGCAGCATCTTGCTGATAACAACTCACACTAATACAAAATGCGGTTGCCAACCTGCCAAGTGTGGCAAATTTGGCAAAGTCCCTCCTATGAAGCAATTTATGACAGACTTTTAAAGGTTTTATTGGATGGAATGTATAATACCATGGACCCTCCTGCAAGCAACTGCTCCAGAACTGCATTTGACTCAATAGCCTGTTGTTGTAATGTTCTGCATCGAATGAGTCTTGCATAACAGATGAAACAGACAATTATGGGCTCCTCATCTTCATCCATCTGAAAATATGAAAGTTCGTCATAAAAATGGGAAACTACTTAAGTATACAATTTTGTAATAAAATCTATTGACCAACCCACACACACACACACACACACACACAATTCCCTTCTTCAAAATATTTTTTATAACATTGAAGTGAAATCTTCCATAAGTGATATCATTGGCAAACTTTCTGCACATGGTTAATATATGGACATAATTCTCTAATTAATTTAAAATGTTGTGAGTGTCAAGGAAGTAGGAGGTCTGCATGACATTAACAGATAAAATTATGAAAGCAGTAGATCCAAACTCTTGGGACCCTGACAGAGGTATTTCAAGTTTGGACTCTCAAAATTCAATCCTAATAAACATACATTCATATAATAATTTTAAACTACTGCTATTGATATTACAAAAACTTTACTGAAAATGCTTGCGCTAGGAGTAACTTAAACAATAGTCAAATGGCAGATTTGAACTCGCTACTTTATTGAGTTTGCAATCATTCTAACTATTGGGCCACTATCACTTAGTTTTAAATGGAGTTAATAACAATACCCTTCCCTGAGAAGTTTTAACCGTTTTGATTTAATATCAACTGCAGTATAAAGTAAGTTCCAGATAAGTTTGAGACATCTAACAATTAGATTATTTTATTTCATAAGAATATTGGCAGCAGCATTTTGCACATAACAGGTCAGAATAATTAAAAAAACTGCAGTTGCCAACCCGCCTAGCCTAGGGTGGCAACTATGGCAAATAACAATGATACCACAAATGATTCTTAAAATATATAACATATATTCAACCTAATATGGAATATGCCTCATAAATTATACTAAGATAAAGGAGAGGTTCAACACAGATATTTAAAAGTTCCTGGAGCATTGAAAGCATACCATATGAGGAAAGTCTGAAAACACTTGAACTTACAACTCTGAAAGAAAACAGAAAATGAGGAGGCTGGATGGAAACATAATACATGGACACTATGATCTAGAAATTTTTGACAAACCATTATTCCAGTACCCAAACAGGGTAAGGTTTACAATTCGGTCACCTGAATTTGGGGGTGGGGGGTGGCGTGGGGGGAGGGGAGGAGTTGTACAGTCACCCCCTACTTCCACTTTCTGCCGGACGTGCTTAGTTTTTTTTTTATTAATTTTTAAAAAATCTCATTTTGAGGTTATGTTTCGTAATTTTTATGACAATTTTAACCTGATTTATGGGTAGAGAGAGTTGGAGGATGGAAGCCCCACGCCACTTAATGTGGTGCAGTCGAGGGAGGTCCGGTCGACGGACGGCTCCTACTTCTGAGTGGTTTACAAAAAAATAACCACGAAGAGGATGACGGGGTCTATTCGCTCGCTTCGCTCGCTCACACGACCCCGTCATCCTCTTCTAACCTAACCTGTCCGAGTCGGGGTGCTCCACGTCCCAGGCTCGCTTCGCTCGCTATTGCACTCGATATAACACCAAATTATTAACTTTCGTAACTACTTTAATTTATAAACATAATTTATGGCTGCCACCATTTGTAAGAAAAGATCTTTGCGATATTTAGCAGTATTCCGCCGCCACAAATATTTCACTATTCACCAAAATTCTGAAACTCGGAAGCAACACCGTGAGGAAAAGCTGTCAACAAAATGGCCGGCATAGCGATTTAATTTTACATATTTTTAAATCGATTCAAATCGAAATTAGATGAATCGATTCACAAAAAATCGAAATCTTAAAGATCAATTTCGCAAAAATCGTTTTTTTTTATTTGCGTTAAAAGTTTATATTTACGATATCAAAAGATACAATAAAGTACAGATAACATTGAATAATTAAATTAAAAACTGTCATTCTTTACGAGTTGGGGTACATTCAACCAATTGTAAATAATTTTGCAAATCTAAATAAAACAGAAAAAGATTCGATCTCGATTCTCTAGGGTGAAATATCGATTCACTAGATCGTTTCAGTACTATATATCGATTTGACATTGACAGATGAAACGTCAAAAACGTAATTAAATTAGTCATTTACCAATATTTTTAAAAAATAATTAAAAATACTTCGACGCTGCTCCGGCAGAAAAAATCGAGTGGGGGTGCTTCAGATAAACCCCCCTTGACTCCCCCACAGTGACAGAATCTTCAAATTCAGGCGACCGAATTGTAAACCCAACCCCCCCAAACAACACACATTTTAGAGGCATCACTTCAAATTGA